CCCTGGGGGTCGCCAGCCGACATTGTCTGGCGGACGGCACCTGAGGAGGCCCACTCTGTGCGAGCGTACTGGCTGGTGGGAGGCTATTGGTGGCAGTAGGCGGTCTCGTAAGTACCCCGGCCCTAAGCCATGGAGCGCTTTAAAGGTGGTCACCAACACCTTGAAGCGCACCCGGAAGACCACCGGGAGCCAGTGCAGCTCGCGCAGGAGAGGTGTCACATGGGAGCGCCTCGTCGCCCCCATAATCCCCCGCGCGGCCGCGTTCTGGACCAGCTGGAGCCTCCGGGTGCACCCCAGGGGGAGCCCCATGTAGAGAGCGTTGCAGTAGTCCAGGCGGGAAGTGACTAGTGCCTGAGTGACTGTGCGTAGAGAGTTCCGATCTAGAAAGGGGCGCAACTGGCATATCAGGCGAACCTGATAAAAAGCCCCCCTGGCCACGGCCGTCAAATGGTCTTCTAGAGACAGCCGTGCATCCAGGAGGACGCCCAAGTTGCGAGCCCTCTCCGTGGGGGCGAGTGATTCGCCCCCAATAGCCAGCGATGGTGTCAGCTGGCTATATCGGGACGCTGGAAGCCACAGCCACTCGGTCTTGGAGGGGTTGAGTCGGAGACTGTTTCTCCCCATCCAGGCCCGCACGGCCTCCAGGCACTGGGACATCACTTCAAGGGCATCGTTGGGGTGGCCTGGGGTGGAGATGTACAGCTGGGTGTCATCAGCGTACTGATGGAACTCCACCCCGAAGCCACGGATGATCTCACCCAGCAGCTTTACATAAATGTTGAACAGAAGGGGCGAGAGGACCGACCCTTGTGGCACCCCACAAGCAAGGTGCCTCGGGGTCGACCGCTGCCCCCCCGTCAACACAGATTGCAACCGGTCAGAGAGGTAGGAGGAGAACCACCGCAGAACGGTGCCCCCCACCCCCAACCCCGCTAACCGGTGCAACATGATACCATGGTCGATGGTATCAAAAGCCGCTGAGAGGTCTAACAGGACCAGGATAGAGGAGCAACCCCTATCCCGAGCCCTCCAGAGATCATCCACCAACGCGACCAATGCCGTTTCCGTGCTGTGCCCAGGCTGGAAGCCGGACTGGAGCGGGTCCAGATAGACAGTTTCATCCAGGTACCGGGGAAGCTGTTGCGCTACCACACTCTCAACAACCTTCGCAACAAAGCGAAGGTTGGAGACTGGACGATAGTTAGCCAAAACAGCCGGATCCAGAGAGGGCTTCTTGAGGAGGGGCCTCACAACCGCTTCTTTCAAAGCGGCCGGCAGGACCCCCTCACTCAAAGAAGCGTTAACAATCTTCTGGAGCCAGCCTCGTGTCACCTCCCGGGAAGCCAGTACCAACCAGGAGGGACACGGGTCCAATAAACATGTGGTCGCGTTCAGCCGTCCCAGGACCCTGTCCATGTCCTCGGGAGCCACAGGATCGAACTCACCCCAGATAACACTCTCAAGACCTGCCTCAGTCATCCCGTCCGGACATACCCAGTCAGAGGCCAGCCCTTCCCGAATCTGAGCGATTTTGTCATACAGATACTGCACAAAGTCCTCAGCTCGGCCCTGCAAGGGGTCATCCCGCGCTTCCAGATGGAGGAGGGAGCGGGTCACCCTAAACAGGGCGGCCGGGCGATTATCTGATGACGCGATAAGAGTGGCAAAATAGCTAGATTTTGCCGCTTTTATTGCCACTAGGTAGGTCTTAATATGAGACCTCACCAGTGTTCGGTCGGATTCGGAGCGGCTGGTCCTCCAACTACTCTCCAGGCGTCTTTTCCGGCGCTTCATCTCCCTAAGCTCCTCGGAGAACCAAGGAGCTAGGTGAGTTCGGTGCCGGGTCAGAGGCCGCAAAGGCACGACACGGTCCAAGGCCCCGGCAGCCGCACTATCCCAGGCGGCCACCAGGTCCTCAGCCAAGTCGTGAGCCAGAGTCTCAGGAAATGGCCCAAGCTCCATCTGGAACCTATCAGGGTCCATCAGGCGCCTGGGGCGGAACCACCTGGTCGGTCCCGCCTCCCTGCGGCGGGGTGCAGCGGTTAGAAAGTCCAGTCGAAGGAGCGAGTGGTCAGACCATGACAAGGGTTCGATGACTATATCCCCTGTATCAAGGCCACTCGACCACTGACCAGAGACAAAAACTAAGTCCAGAGTGTGTCCACCCATGTGAGTGGGGTCATGAATTAACTGAGTAAGGTCCATGGCCGTCATGGAAGCCATGAACTCCCGAGCCACCTCAGACGTTTCGCCGACAGATGGCAGGTTGAAATCCCCCATGACTAGAAGTCTGGGGGTACCAACCGCCACCTCAGCTATGACGTTGAGCAGCTCGAGCAGGGCCGTTGCCACGCGGCAGGGAGCCAGGTACGTGATCAACAAGCCCATCTGTACTCCACGACCCCATCTCACAAAAAGGGACTCACATCCGGCTATCTGTGGAACAGTGGTTTCCCTCGGATCAAGACTTTCCTTTATAATAACCGCCACCCCCCCACCCCTGCCCTGAGCTCTCGGCTGATGGAATGCTCGGAAACCTGGTGGGCACATATCCACGAGGGGAACCCCCCCCTCATGGCCCAACCAGGTCTCCGTAATACCTGCCAGGTCCGCTCCCCCCTCCTGAATAAGATCGCAAATGAGGGGGGCTTTATTTACCACGGACCTGGCATTGCACGACAGCAGCCGAAGGCTCCGGCCCTGAGAGTCTGAACAGCCTGGGATACGAGAAGGGCTATGGGGACCGGGGCGCGCCACCGCTCGAAGATAGGGAGTGCGTGCCCCCACCACATGATGCAGGCCCCTGCTCCCGCCATATCTGCCCCTCCCACTCAACACACTCCCACTCCACAAATTTGTGGAGTGCCGCAGGGATCGGTCCTCTCGCCCCTTCTGTTCAACATTTATGTGAAGCCGCTGGGTGAGATCATCCATGGCTTTGGGGTGAGATACCATCAGTACGCTGATGACATCCAGCTGTACATCTCCACCCCAGGCCACCCCAACGATGCCCTTGAAGTGATGTCCCAGTGCCTGGAGGCTGTGCGGATCTGGATGGGGAGGAACAGGCTCAGGCTCAACCCTTCCAAGACTGAGTGGCTGTGGCTCCCGGCATCCCGATATAGTCAGTTGACTCCATCACTGACTATTGGAGGCGAGTCTTTGGCCCCCACTGAAAGGGCTCGCAATCTGGGAGTCCTCCTGGATAGGCAGCTGTCTTTGGAGGAACATCTGACGGCTGTTACCAGGGGGACCTTTTATCAGGTTCGCCTGATTCGCCAGTTGCGGCCCTTTCTCGATCGGGATTCCCTGTGCACAGTCACTCACGCCCTCGTCACCTCTCGCCTTGACTACTGCAACGCTCTCTACATGGGGCTCCCCTTGAAGAGTACCCGGAGGCTCCAGCTGGTCCAGAATGCAGCAGCGCGGGTAGTGATGGGAGCAACATGGCGCTCCCATGTAACACCGCTCCTGCGCGAGCTGCACTGGCTCCCGGTGGTCTTCCGGGTGCGCTTCAAGGTGTTGGTTATCACCTTTAAAGTGCTCCATGGCATAGGGCCTAGCTATCTGCGAGACCGCCTGCTGCTACCGACGACCTCCCATCGACCCATGCGCTCCCACAGAGAGGGCCTCCTCAGGGTGCCATCAGCCAAACAATGTAGGCTGGTGGCCCCCAGGGGGAGGGCCTTCTCTGTGGGGGCTCCCACCCTCTGGAATCAGTTGCCCCCAGAGATAAGGAGAATCCATGACCTCAATGCCTTCCGTCATTCCCTGAAAACCCATCTTTTCCAGCAAGCCGGGTTGGCTTAAGAAGAAATTTTTAAATTCTTTTAATTAGTCTGTGATTTTTTAACTTTCGGGCCAAAATTTATATATATTTTTAAATGTTTTAATATTTGTATTCTATGTTTTTTATCTTGGCTGTACACCGCCCTGAGTCCTCAGGGAGAAGGGCAGTATATAAATTGGAAATTAAATTAAATTAAATAAAAATTAAATGTTATTGGATAGGGTCATTTCTATAATGAGAGTCAATTTGGTACAGTGTTTACGGCAGGGAGACTGGGTGTTCTAGTCCTTGCTTAGGCAACAAACCAACTGGTGACTTTGAGCCATTTATTCTCCTCAGCTTTACAAAGTAGATGAGGGCAAACTATTTCTAAAACTACTGCCAAGAAATCCGCATGGACTGTTATAGCCAATTGCCAAGAGTCAAGACTGAGTTGAAAGCACTCTCTCACACACAATTTTAATAAATTGTGGAAATGTGATAGATCCGTCATACTTTGACATTAGCAAAACATTTGTTGAAGTATCTCATGACATTCTTAGTAAGTTAGTTAAGCATAGATTGGATAGTATGACATTTAGGAGAACTGATAATGAATCAGCAGTATAATGTATACTTGCTGCCAAACAAGCAAGTATAATTAAGTCTGAATCGTTTCCAAATCACAAGAAGTAATCATTTCACTTTTTCTACTTTGATCAGATCCTATTTTGAGTGTTGCATTCAATTCTGGGAACCACACAACAAGAAGGATTCAAAGAAACTAGAAGGGCAATAGGGAAGATAAGAGGAAAAAACTCTGAAAAAGTTGGGCAGAAAAAGTTTGAGGAGACTGAAACTACAACATTCTTCAAATATGTGAGAATGTCACACAAAGAAAGTCAAGGCTGTTTTCTTTTATTCCAGAGTGCAAGTGCAGAATAATAGTTACAGAAAGGCATATTCCAACTGAATCTTAGAAATATATCCTATCATTAAAATTGATTCAGCAGTGGAACAATTACCTAGAGAGGTAATGGGTTCCTCTTCAGTGGCAGTAATCAATGGAAGGCTATTTTGCCACCTGTCAAGGATGCTTTTTAAAATCTTTATTGTGGTCTTAAAACTTAAGGTTTTAAAAAGTCCACTGAAGTAAACATTTTTTCAGTCTGATGGTTATCTGAGACAATAATGAGGTTAGCTACTTAAAGAAACAGCAAAGTGTACCTACCTGCCTCCTTTATATGCTTGTAAACATCGTCTGAACCAGCAGAAGAATATGGAATATCATCATGGGCTACAAAATCAATCTAAAAATACAGAATAAAAGGAAATTAAGTTGTCCCTTACTTTGAAAACCTATTTTCCTTACTTACTAAACAAATTTTAAGTAAAGATATTTTAAATGATTGTAATAGAATTTATATCACTGTACAGGTAATCCTTGGGTTACAAGCATTCCCTTAGCAAACGTTTGAAGTTACGTAATAAGCGCCCCCTAGCGTTTACAAACAAGTCCTGAAATTATGTATATTGCAGCACCATGGCAGTTGTTCGCTCTTACTGCAGAGGCTCTGCAACATTCACCCCGCCTATTCCCCCCACCCCAGCCGGGTCTTCACAGGCACTTCACCTGTGGAGACTCGCTTACCTTGCGAAGATCTCCTCTCTCTCATGCTTTCTTTGCCTGCTTCATTGCTTCAGGCTTTCGGTGCATTTGCAGAGAACAGAGGCCTAATTTACCTCAAGATCATGCGAGATCAGTAGCACGAGATCTTGTGCTACTGATCTCACATGATCTCACGGTGCGTTAGATCTTGTGCGATCTTGCACTTTTAGGCTTCTATTCTCTGCTAATTGTGGCTTGGATGTTTGCAAACGGAGGGAAGGCTTCAATCCTTCAGGCCTTCCCTCTGTTTGCCATTTCCTTGCCAAAGCAAGCAAGGAGATTGCGTTCCTGTAGGCTTTGGCAAAAAGCTTTTGTTGGCACCAAAGAGCTTGGGAGGAGGGGGCATGTCCCTCCAAAGCTCTGTTCCTACTGGCAAAGGCTTTTTGAAAAGGGCTGCCGAAGCCTCAAAGGATGCAATCATCAAGTGCTTTGCTGATGAGAAAGGAGGCCTGGAGGGCTATGCATGGCCTTCCAGGCCTCCTTTCTCACCAGTGATCTGCTTGATGAGGCCTCCAGCGATGAAAAAGGAGGCCCAAAAGACCATGCAGTCCTCTGGGCCTCCTTTTTTGTTGCCATAGGCCTCGTCAAGCCCTTTGCTGATGAGAAAGGAGGAAACTGGCAAAGAAACAAACTGAAGAGGAGACAGGTCTTCATAAGGTAAGTCACCCGGTGTGGCAGGATGGAGGTGTGTGTGAAGCAATTGTGGGGAACCCAGGGCATGGAGAATGAAATATCTGTGGGTCGGGGGAGGCCTTGGGTTACCTGAAGTAGGTGGCCTGTTACATCACTAGCCCCCCCTCATGGCCTTCCCCACTGTGAGATACCTCATGTGCACTTAACGTGTTGCGCATTCGATTATTGAATATATTGGCGAAAGCAGGAAGTGATCTTGTTCAAAGTATGAGAGTCACTCCCATTAATCCTTGGGTCCATTACATTCATAACCCGAGGACTACCTGTATAGCACATGAAAATACAAAACCTTTTAGTTATATATGTAATATCAGTTAAAGAATCTAAGCTGTTTACAATTATATTAAGTACCACATCAGTAATACAAAATAGTCACCATGCTGAAACCTAAAGAATCATGCTAACTTATCTCAGAATATTTTAATGACATTTTTACTATTATACTTCTTAATATAATACAACTTAATAAAGTTATTCCAAATAAGTGGGAGATCAGTCATAGCTATTTATATACTTGAGCTTTGTATATTATTGAGAAATGGATGACATAAACTTGTAATAGTAAGTGAAGGGTAGCTAACCTTACAATTCAATGAACCAGTATGATTTTTTATGGATATATGCTTGCAGTTTCATCCAAAATATGTAAATAACTTCTATATACAGCTTATAATTATAAGCCTTTTGGAGAAAATCCAGTTTTCTGCAACTGTATTGTTAATTTGGTTATTAGGAGCTCTGGTTGTGTAGTGGTTAAGTGCAGTATTGCAGGCAAACTCTGCCCATAATCTGGAGTTCAATCCTGATAGGGCTCAAGGTTGATTCAGCTTTCCATCCTTCCGAGGTCGGTAAATGAGGACCCAGATTGTTGGGGGCAATATGCAAATAATGCTTACCTTATAAACTGCCGAGAGAGCACTGTAAAATGTTATTGGGTAAGCTAAATGCTACGCTATTTTGGACATTTGAGGGCTTGGAATGCTACAAGAAAGGCCTATTAAAGTAACAGATAAATGGATGGAAAGAAGATTTTATACAGTATTTTAATCCAGTTGCGCTATCATTGTTATTACTGAAACGGAGTTGATGTTTGAAAAGATATTTTCCCTTTTTATTATAGTTGCTTCCTCAAATCCTAATTACATTTTTTAAAATTCTGAATGCATAGCATTTAAAAGAAGACAAGAAAAGGAAAGGAGATGGTTGCTACCATCACAGCTAAAAACAAAAGGAAAGAATTATTACCACTGAATTACAACCTGAACTACAGAACTAATATACTAGGGATGGTGGCAAAGGACACCTCAGTTTAGAGTTCATCTATGCTTTATAAACATAACAAATATGTAGTATTTGGCACCATCGCTAGTATGAAACTGGCTTATGAGGTTAAAAAAAAGAAAAGAAAAATACCTTATGCTTTTCCAAAAACTCTGCTGTGAGTGTCCATGGAGCATCTCTGATTACTTCATCTACATAGCGGCAGTGTCTGAGGGCCTCATAACGTTCTTCTTCATTCATTACAGTGAAACCTTTAAACTTATGTGTTAGATCATCACTGCAAACTGACATACATGCAAGAAGATTTCAAAAATAGTAACCCTGATTCTGTAAAATTCAGTGCATCTCTTTGGCTATAAATTATTCAAATCTATTTTCAGAGTTTTAAGCCAATAGTTGTCATACCAAATCACAAAAGTAGCAATCTAAAATTGGAAAACATTTTTCAGTCCCTTGATCACATTTTCACAATTTCACAATTGAAAACTTGCTTATATTGGATGGCCATTACATTAAAAGCTATCCTAAGTTGGATAGCTGTTTCTCTGATTTGTTAGTCAGAAAAATTGCTAGCTGAGTTTCTTTCAGACGTAAGTCCCAAAGCTTTTCAATTGTGGAATGGTGAATCTTTTCTTGCAGTTATCTTAGCAGTACTAGCTGGAAAGTCTGAGATTTGTCTCAAGACACAGAGATAGCAATGAAATTGAGGGAAGCTAGCCTGGCCATTGTTTTATTTCAGCATTTCCACATTTTTCATGGCATTTCTTTTTTTCGATATTATTATTGTTCTGATTTCTTATAGAAATATCAGAATATCAGTCATAGGGACATGTTGTTCAATTGTCTTCTCTTAATACAAACAAATGGAAAAAGCAATTATATTTCAGTGTATAAATTTGGATGAAATGACATTCAGTAGGCTCCATTCCACATTCCATTCCTCCATTCTGTTTTTAATATCTGAGAAAGAAGAATCCAAAAATGATCTTGATCATATGTAATATTGAATTTATTTCTTTTCTTATCTCAATTTCATAGGTTCTACAAGTTCTACAGGTGAGCTTTACAAACAGAAAAAAGATCTTCTGGATCAGAGAAAAATTATTGATTAACAAACTGTTTATGTGATATTTGTAAGCACTTTAGTTCTTTCCTACTATTTCTTAGGAAAAGGTTACAGCTAAAAACTTGCTTTTCAGTAAATTAAAATTAGAAAACTCACAGAACCGGTGAACCTGGGCTTGTTTAGCAAATTATATAAAAGAGAATATCAGTCTAAAAGTAATCTTTGTTCAAATATCAGGCTTACCTCCTACTAATAAGTAGCTATTAGGAAACAGAGTTTTGGCTTGCATGAGAGCTCTTGCATGACCAGAATGGAAGAGATCAAATATTCCATCTGCATAGACTCTGACAGGTCTGTCCACTATGAACATAAGAAACAATTTCCATGTTAAACCAGATATTTATCTCAAATCTAGTCAGATTATAATGATACATTTTCTACATCTATTCAGAAATACAAGGAAGAGATTCAGGTAGGGTTGAGCCGCTTAGCCCAATAAAAAAGTCCATATTAGAAAAATTGTTTTCCATGAATGAAACCCCCCCCCCAAAAACAGTGACTGGGTGATCTTGGCTGGGCTCAGAAACTAACGAAAGTCAGACCCAGGTTGCTACTTGGATAGAAGATCACCAAGAAATTTCAGGGCCCTAGATCAGAGTGGGAATTTGATTTGCATCCCAGAAGAAAAGATTGCTCCTTTGCTCTATTTCATGGAGTCTGTACAACATCATCACTAGAAGATGAGTTTAGCTCAAAGAGATTTTCCCTAAATTACCAGATGAAAAAATGTTTACAAATGATATTTACATAATTGGATTGCTTCTGTATAGCAGAGCTAAAACAGAAAGCGCTCTTCAAAAATGAGAAACATATGCACACGTTTGTAACTCAAATGTTTATTTCTTGGTACTTTTTTTTTTTTATTGAAAAAGTTTTTCAAATACAAATTTTTTCCCCCTTTTTCCCCCCTCCTCCCTAACCCCCCTCCTCCTCCCCTCCCCCTGTGACTTCTTCATAATAAAACCCAAATTCATAACAGATTATATAATACTTTACCATCCCCTCACTCCATCCCCATATGCTGACGCTTTCTTTCTAATAAGATTATCATATCCCCCTTATACTATACATTTCAAAATGACATTCTACAATAACATTATATAATAACTCCTAATTTAGCATAATAATAAGTCAAATCTTTTATGTATATTAATCTAACATTTCAAAACAACCTTCCGCTATAAAACTATATAATAAATCCTAATTTAACATTTATTCAGTTCATAGTCTACCCATTTCCTTCACCCCCATCGTTATATCTCTTAACTCAGATCTTTTACATATATTCATATCTAAACATAATATCCCTTTTCTTAAACTAAACAATCAATAAACTAACCTGTCTCCACCCACTTTCCTACAAGACTACCATACTTAATAATTCTTAATATCTTTATTCTTCTGCCCACTCCACTAAAAAATATTCCCTTATGTAAATAAAATCCTCTTAAAAAGACTTTAGGCTTGTAATCCATATAATATCTTCTGTAATGTCTTTCAGCTGGATTATAAACTCCATCACCCATGTTAGGGTAACATCACATCCTAATTCCAACAGTATATTCGGTATCTTCAATTACCATCTGCCCCCATCAATAGCAAATATCTTCATAATAATAAAACAACAACAACAACCACCCAAGTGACTTTGTATTTGTATTCCATATAGTGTCTGTAAAGGTATCTTTTATCCAAATTATTAATTCCAACCACTGTAATAGGGTAACAACCAGATCTTCTGCATGCCCCAATCCCATAACTCTCTTGCCTTGTAACTCAGCATAAACGTAGTATATTTATCAAAGAATCCAAAAAAAGATAGTTCCATTCCATTCAGTTTAAGGCCCTTTTCACATCCCAAAAGTACTGCACTGCAGAGGTCTGTCACTCTCCTCAGGATAATATAAACCAATACTTTGTCGATTATCTTTTCATATATTCAATCATCTCTTAAATAACTGGCATTACACTGTTGTTTAGTTTAGAAGTTTTTGTTTTTGTGAGACCTGCTTCTTCTTTTCTTGACTTTTTGTGGGTTGGATCTCCATCCTGAGTTCCTTTCTGTAAATTGTATATCAACTATTTGGCTTTCATGCTGATCTATAACTTGATCTTGTTGGTTTTGCTTTTGTGGCTTAAATCTCCATTCTGGTTCTATAAATTGTATATCATCTGATTGATTTCCATGCTGGTTTGTGACTTGATAAGTCGTTACATTAGAATCCAGAGCTGCCTCTCTTGTATTAAATAGTCCAGCTGAGACCTCTGAAAGAGAATCCAAAAGCGGCTCATCTGTAGAGACCTCTGTAACTTGTTGTTTCTTCATTACTTCCACCTCCTTCTGCTTTTCTTGAATTTCTATCTCTTGTTGATTTTGCTTTTTGAGGACCTTGTAGTAAAATTCTTCCGCTTTTTCAATAGTATTTAGCTGATATCTTTCTCCTTGATATCTCAATATTATACCAACTGGAACATCCCACCTGAATGAAATATTTTGTTTTTTTAGCTCAGTCACCAAAAGTCCAAATTTCTTTCTATCTTTTAACATCTTAGGCGGCAATTCTTTATATATCCAGATCTTTCTTCCATACAATTGTGGAGTAGAATTAAAGGATTTTTGCACAATATCATTTCTTATTTCTTTATCTGTGAAGTAAATCACCACATCTCTAGGCAGTTGCCTTTGCTTTGCAATCCAAGAATTTACTCTATAGGCCTTGTCAATCTTACAAGATACCTCCTCAGGATGAACCTTTAAAATCCCAGCCAGAACTTGAGCAGATATTTTTCTTAGATCATCTCTATTATTTTCCTGTAATCCTCTCATTCTGATCGCAAATTCTGTGAGCCTGTATTGCATCATTACAACTTCTTTTTCAATCCCTTGCTTTATATCTTCTGCATTGTAAGTCTCGTGACCAGCTTCCTTTTTAGACTTTACTTCTAAACTATTGTCTTGAATATTTATCAAATCATTTTCAATTCTTTGTATTTTATTGTCCAAATTATAAATCTTATCATCAACTTCCTCAATTTTAGACTCTAATAATTTGATATTTGTATCCATCTTTATGACAACTTCTGAAAAAGCATTAGTCACTGTTACAATCTTTCGTTGCAGATTAGTTGTAGTTGTATCATTTCTTTAATTTCCTGCCTTAATTTTTCAAATTTCTGGTTCACAGTCTCATGATATTTTGCCATTTCCTCCTGAAGAAATTCTTTTAAATTAAAACCATTCTGCAGAGTCTGTAGGCTCAAAGCTTGTTCAGATAATTGTGGATGGGGGAGCACCCCCCCACTGCTTGTTTATCAAGCTTTATTAATTTTAACGCCATCCTGCCACACAAAAAAGCTCTTTTTTTTTTAAAGAAAACTTTTCCCCAAACAAGATCAAATACAGATCTCCAAGAAAAAAGAAACTTAAAATGGATATTTTCCTTCTAGTCTAGCCGGCACTATATATTTCGCTACTGTGTAGCTTATTACGGAAGGACTTTCACTTTCGGCTTTCTTCTCAAGCCTCAGCAGTCACCATTTTAAACTTATTTTTTCCGTTCAATTAGAAACACTTGTAAAATCATTAAAAATACTTGCGATTTAGGGTCCCAGGTACAAGTCTCGCTCTCTTTAACTAAACCATCTGTTATTTTATTAGTTGGTCCGGTCCTGGCGCCTAGCTCTGCAAAAAGGCAGAGTCCTCCCCAAGCCTGGAGCAGCGGCGAGCGAAAATAGGGAGCCCCGCTCTGCTCGTCCCCAAGAATAAAAAAAAAAAACTCTGGGGACTTCGCAGAGGGCTCTACCTGCCCTCGTCTGCTCTGGCTCACATTTCCATCAGGAAATGGAGTTTTTCGAGCCGCCTTTCAGATGTAAAGGCGGCTCTTTACAGGCAACGGGGCTGGCGGTCACGGAGGACCGTCTGGTGGCAACGGAAGCCAGCGGTACTTTTTCAGCTATGTACTACTAAAACTTTCTTTCCTGTAACCTTTAACTGGGTGATATGGTGCACCACAGGACAACCTTTTTGGACCAAAGTATATCAACTGGGATAATTTACAGAATGTGCCCGAAATCTGGAACCCATGACTTCTATGCAGTTCAAATTTGGCAAATTTTATACAATATTTTATGACACAAAAATTATCTGAGGCCCTGTAACTTTAACAATTGAGGTATTGTGGAAATTGATCAGGAAATATCTCTGAAAAGATGATCCAAGGAATCATGCCTTAAAAGAGAGCTGAATTTGTTATGGGATAGGATTGTGAGGGCAGCAAGCTAATCTGGCTAATTGTGTGTAGAATACAGACCTCTGTCATCCCCAAAGGGGAAGAGTGAGCAGGAGGACCCAGAAGGAATAGCAGAGCTATTTCTGCTACCCCTGTCACCCCAACATCTGTTTCTGAGGTGATTGTTTCAGTATGCCTATTGGCAGAGCTGCTTTTAAATATGTTCAGATTTTTAATTTACTTATTTATTTTGTATGGCTGTCAAAACTGCAAAAAGCAATTCCAAGTGGTTAACATAGAATTAAAAACAAAACGAACAATAAAAATAAAGTCAGAAGGTCACAGAATATGATCTCAGATCCCAGGACACTGCAACTGTCATAAATATGAACCAGTTGCCAAGCTTCCGAATTTTTGATGAAGTGATCATGGAGATGCTGCAACGATTGTAAGTGTAAAAAATGATCATAAGTCACTTTTTTAGTGCCACTGTAACTTTGAACAGTCACTAAAACATTGTATGGCAAGGACTACCTTTACTTTATTCCAGTTTTCCCAACTGGTGCCCCTTAGATGAGGGAGAGTGCTTTAGAGTCCCTTGGGAGTTGGGCGGCATAGAAATGCGACAAAATAAATAAATAAATAAATAAATAGGATTGCCAGGTCTGCTTCCAAAAAGTAGCGGACAAACGGGGAGGGGGGTGTTAAGTAGTAAAAAAATTAAAAAAAATTTACAATTAAATTATATATTTTCTTACAAACATTTTAACACGTATTAAAATAATCACTTCAAAACTTTACTTAAAATTCAAAACATCAAATATATTATAATAATATGTAAAATATTAAATTACATTTTACTTTGCTGTCGTGTGTTTTTTTTATTTGACTGCGCAGCTTTGATCAATTCTTTGTGTTTAAGGAATAATTCTTTAATTTCAGTACAATGTTGAGAAATATTAAAAAATATACAAAGTTCACTTCGAACTGATACAAGCAGTCAGTTACGTTCGTCAGTCCACAAATTTCCCATGACGCTGAAAATTCGTTCAATGTTTGCATTTGATACTGGAATTGATGCATAATACTGGAACAGTTTCAGTAAACTCGGAGCTGGCTCTTTCTTGAAAAAGTACGTCCACTTATCAAGGGATGAATCGCCCTGCAGATGAACATAAACTTCTTCTAAGGCAGAAATTTCATCGAAGAGAGTGTTGGGTGGAAGTTCTTCTCTCCATGGTGATAATAACCAGATGTTCGTCATTTCTTCTAAATTGGAGGATTATTGCGATCAATTAGATTGAAACAATTTAGCGTCTCATATACTGAATCGGTGAAATTATACCACTTTTCTAGGTATGCAATGGCTCTTTGATACACGTTGATGGCTTCTTTCTTGAACTTTTGCATGGCATTCTCAGGCAAATGTTTTTTATGTAAAGTAAATAAAACTTTCATTCCAAAAAACTGCTCATCGTATTTTTTTTTGCAAAGAATCACGCAGCTTACACATGATAATGTGAAGATCACATGCAAGAATTTTCTTGCTTTCCAGCTTCAGTAGGGTGTCTTGCATTATTGACATGAAGAAGTGCGTGAAATATAAATACAATTCTGAAATTGTTGGTTCATCGTCCTTTGCGAGTTCATTTTCCTGATCCGAAATAAGGTTCCAGATAACCTTATGGCACTCATTAGATCCAAGAGAAATAAAATACGATTTTAGAAGTATCCAGTTTAAAAGAAGTCTTTTGACCGCTTTAAACAAACTTAACCAACGTGTTGGAACATGGCGCAAAACTTCATGGAATTCTGACTCACAAAACTCAAAAAATGATTTCAATTCTTCTCGTTTCTTCACAGAATTAGAAAATTTGGCAAAAACCTTCAGCACTACATTTTCAATATCAAAAGATAACTGCTTTAATGCATTTTTGCGCTGTTGTATAAAATGTGATTATTGCAATGAGCATTCTATCTTTGTCTCATTCTAATTTATGAAAAAAAAGACAAAACGTGATTTTCCTATCCTTATTTTCTTACACTGTACAGCTTTAGATTACGTACCATTTCATCATAAAGCTTTTGAATAAAAAAAATGTCCACTATTTTGTAAAAAAAAATAGTGAATATAATGTGAAAAAAGTGGACTGTCCGCTCAAATAGTGGACACCTGGCAACCCTATAAATAAATAAATAAATAAATAAATAAATAAATAAATAAATAAATAAATAAATAGATAGATAGATAGATAGATAGATTGGGACTACAAAGGCCAGTCTGCTGGGAAGTTGAGGCACTGGACTAATGTAGTTGAAATCCATTCCAAAATTAATTTAAAATGCATAATACCTGGTGTTCCAAGATGGGCCTGAGCAATGGTTAACTTCTCATGAGGAGCTTTGCACTGACAGCTTGTTTCACCTGCAAATGGAGCCGGTGCCGTCAAAGTCTAGAAGATGGGAAAGGTCAGATTATGAAAAAAGAGAGCAAAATAAATTGTCAGTTGTGGAAGTTATCACATATGAGTTTATTGCTGCTTGCTTCCACCAATATTACTTGATGATTTTTTTAAAAAAAGTTAAATCTTAAGGAGAATTAGAATTAGAATTAAAACTTTTTATTGGCCAAGTGTGATTGGACACATAACTCTTGGTGCATATGCTCTCAGTGTACATAAAAGAAAAGATACGTTCATCAAGAATCATAAGGTACAACACTTAATGATAGTCATAGGGTACAAATAAGCAATTCGGAAACAATATCAATATAAATCGCAAGGATACAAGCAACAAAAGTCATAGTCATAAATGGAAGGAGATGGGTGGTGGTGGGAATGATGAGAAGATTAATAGTAGTGCAGACTTAATAAATAGTTTGACAGTGTTGAGGGAATTATTTGTTTAGCAGAGTGATGGCATTTGGGAAAAAACTGCTCTTGTGTCTAGTTGTTCTGGTGTGCAGTGCTCTATAGTGTCGTTTTGAGGGTAGGAGTTGAAACAGTTTATGTCCAGGATGTGAGGGGTCTGTAAATATTTTCACAGCCCTCTTTTTGACTTGTGCAGTATACAGGTCCTCTATGGAAGGCAGGTTGGTAGCAATTGTTTTTTCTGCAGTGTCTTGTTGGGTTGCAGAGCCAAACCAGACAGTTATAGAGGTGCAGATGACAGACTCAATAATTCCTCTGTAGAACCGTATCAGCAGCTCCTTGGGCAGTTTGAGCTTTCTGAGTTGGCGCAGAAAGAACATTCTTTATTGTGCTTTTTTGATGACGTTTTTGATGTTAGCTGTCCATTTTAGATCTTGCAATATGGTAGAACCTAGAAATGAGCCTGTAGTACAGTGGACTAAAAGCACTGTTATTAACTGTTATTAACATCTGCTGCTTGCAATTACTGCAAATTCAAACCTCACCAGGCTCAAGGTTGACTCAGCCTTCCATCCTTTCAAAGGTAGATGAAATGAGGACCCAGATTGTGGGGGCAATAAACTGACTTTGTATAAATATACAAAAGTATGAAGGCTATTGCTTAACGCATTGTAAGCCGCCCTGAGTCTCCAGAGAAGGGCGGCATATAAATTAAAGCAAAATAATAATAATAAATAAATAAAATTGAAGATTTCTACTGTTGATACTGTGTTGTCTAGTATTGTGAGAGGTGGAAGTATGGAAGGGTTTCTCCTAAAGTCTACCAGCATTTCTACAGTTTTGAGTGTGTTCAGTTCCAGATTGTTCCGGTGACACCACGAGGCTAGTTGTTCAACCTCCTGTCTGTAGGAGTGTGATATAACTTTATAATATCCTTCAAGTTTGTTTTCTTCCAGTGAAATATTTTAGAAGTGGATACAGGGATGTACATATTTCAACTATCTATTGATTTGAAGTGGTACTCTCACTGCTATTTATCCCAATTTCTAAAAAATTTGAAATATCTATAATTTCCCCCATTAAATAAATTGCATTAACACATCCATTCATAGTATACAGTATGAGCTGGTATCAGAAAAAAATTAATTAAAAAGTCAAATAGAGATTATTTCCACTAATAATAAACAAGCTGGCTATTGTGCATATCATCTCTCTTCTTTTGGCTTATGTCATATTAAACAAAGAATAGAAAAATAAAAAAGAGTGATGTTTGGAGAGTTTCTCATGGTCAGCTCTCATATGAAACTAACATTGCAGATTCAACAGTTCTGGAAAGCTGGGGAAAAACTTGAAATATTCAATTTCAATTCCCACATCCTTATTATAATGGCCAATATGTGTGCATAGGGGAATCAATAAAGTTTTCTGGGTCCAAAGATAAACCTCTCAAATGGAGCCCTCCATTGATGAGACAATGCAAATACAATCCTACTTTGGCTGCAACAGATAAGGATAGCAGGATAAAGAAAATAGGACAGTCACATAAAGAATTAATTACTGGCATTGCAACAATGGGCCTGAACCCCAAAAGATTTTCCTTCAATTCTTCAGCCACCATAAAATATCCTTTCCTCCTTCTGTTTTACCTTCTGCATTCAGACCCTAATCTCTCCCCTTTAGAACTCTTCCTCTAATATAACCTAGTACTCACTTCTTTCTTCTGCCATATCTACATGACTTTGCTTTGATTCATCCCCAGCCCACTATGAGGTTGGGGATGAAGAGTCATCCATAGCTATTAATTTAAATATAGTTTTCCTTTCTTGTATCCATGGATACAATTTGGCATACTTCTCCAATAAATGTCAATACTGATGCTATCAGGGGATGGGAATATCCCAATTTTCCTATTAGCTATTTTAGGTTACTGTGGGTACTTTCTATGGATAACTGAGAACTCCCCTCCAAGGCCACTTTGTCTAAGGCTGCAGGAGAATGCCTAACCAGCATTTTTCATAATGCTTGTCAGATCTTTCATGGGTCCTTAAAAATACAGATTTCGTATTTTTTTCCAAGAGTGTTAAGACTGCTTTTTTGATTTGCACAGATTAGATTAGATAAACAAAGTCGAAAGGGACCTTATAGGTCATTTAGTCCAACCTCCTGCTCAAGCAGGAGACCCTACACCATTTCTGACAAATCGCAGTCCAATCTCTTCTCAAGTGATGAAGCTCCCACAACTTCCGAGGGGAAGCTGTTCCATTGGTTGATTGTTCTCACTGTCAGAAAGTTCCTCCTTATTTCTAGGTTGAATCTTTCCTTGGTCAGTTTCCATCCATTATTCCTTGTCTGGCCTTCAGGTGCTTTGGAAAATAGCTTGACCCACTCCTCTCTGTGGCAGTCCCTCAATTATTGGAATACTGCTATCATGTCTCCCCTGGTACTTCTCTTCACTAGACTAGCCATGCCCAGTTCCTGTAACCATTCTTCATATGTTTTAGTCTCCAGTCCCCTAATCATCCTGGTTGCTCTCATCTGCACTTTTTCTAGAGTCTCAACATCTTTTCTATCATATGGTGACCAAAATTGGATGCAGTACTCCAATTTACAGAATAAGGGCATTTGCAGATGATCTGGTAGTTACCCTAACACAGCCGATGGAATCAATAATCCAGATGAAAGATATTATAGAACAATATGGTACAGTATCAGGATTTAGATTGAACCAGAAAAAAACTAAGATGATAGTTAAAAATATGACACAAGATCGAAAACAGGAACTTGAAAGCAAGGCAGGTTTTGAGATAGTACCAAAGGTCAAATATCTAGGAGTTCAAGTTGCAGAATCAAATATGAAATTGTTCCAAAATAATTATGGGTGTTGTGGCGAGACGTACAGAAAAATATGGAGACCTGGAAAAAAACTGCAGCTGTCTTTACTTGGAAGAATAGCAGCAGTTAAGATGAACATTTTGCCAAGATTTCTTTTTTTGTTTCAAATGATTCCGGTGGTTAAAAGTGATAAACAACTGAGAGAATGGCAAAGAGGACTGAATAAGTTTGTCTGGAATGAGAAAAAGCCGAGAGTTAAACTGAAAATTATGCAAGATGTTCCAGAAAGGGGAGGCCTTAAACTTCCAAACCTACAATTATATTATGAAGCAGCAGCTTTGACGCAAGCAAGTGATTGGTTTGGAAGGAAAAAGACTGGAATATTGAATATAGAAAGTTTTGATCTTGAATTTGGTTGGCATGCTTATTTATTTTATGAGAACAAAGTGGATAAAGTATTTAAAAGCCACATACTTAGAGACTCTTTGATGAGAGTTTGGAAGAAGCATCGACTCAAATGGGATTACAAAATATCGTTATGGCTGGATCTTGGTCATATCATGTGGAATACAAATATAATGTCACTCGGGGGGGTTTTATATAAAGAAGTTCTTTTTGCAGATGCGGGCAGATGGCAACTGAAGACTTTAGAAATGCTGTTGGAAGAAGGAATTAATTTAACTTGGTTACAGTATAATCAACTTCAATTGAGATGGAAAGAGGACCAAAAACTGGTATAATGATGCATGAGGAAGAATTGGTTAGACATATAAAAGAGAAAGGTCCAATGCATATTAAAAGGGTTTATAATGTTTTGTTAGAAAGGGATTCAGAAACTGAATTGGTTAAAGATTGCATGATAAAGTGGGCACAAAATTTTGCAGAACCAGTGATGTTGGAAACATGGGAAAAAATATGGGTTCAGAATGTTAAATTTACACAGTCGCAGAATTTGAGGGAAATTTTTATAAAATGTTTTATAGTTGGCATTTAGATCCTAAGAAATTGTCGTGCATGTACCCTAATGTTCAACCAAAATGCTGGAGATGTGATTGCCTAGATGCCACATATTATCATGTGTGGTGGACTTGTAAGAAAGTGAAGGCTTTTTGGATAAAAATTTGGTGGGTTATGCAGAATGTTTTGAAGAAAAAAAATCAGTTTTCTCCACAATTGTCTTTATTGGGTATAGTTAAGGGTTTTACATTGGGTGAAACAAAGTTGATATTGTATATGATAACAGCAGCGAGATTACTGATAGGTCAATATTGGAAAAATGAAGCTATGCCTACTATTGATGAATGGACTTTGAAGATGGCCAGCTTTGCAGAGATGGCAAAGATTTCAGCATATTTAAAAGATTGCTCACAAGAGACTTATGTATGGGAGTGGAAAAAGTGGATAGATTATGTGCAGAATAAATATCAAACTAGGAAATATCAGATAGCTTTTAACTGAAAGTATTATATAGAGATAGAATATTTGAATTTTGTGAAGATGTGAAAAATATACAGGGGGTGGAGGGGTTCAAGTTTTATAAAAAGGGGATTTTGATTTGGATTATATTTTGTAGAAGTCCGGGGGGGAGGGGTGGGCTAGGGGGGGTTAGGGAGGGTTAGGGAGGTGAGGGAGGGTTGGGGGGGGGGGAAACTGGGGAGAAAATGTAATTGTAAAACTTTTTCAATTAAAAAAAAAAGAAAAAAAATACAAAGCAACCCACACAATAGGCACATTTCCCGGCCCTTCCCTTC